TAGGGGTTGGTGTTCATGCTTTACTGAGCTGGAAAAGTTTTTACACCTTCTGAAGATCGGTCTCATAACCTCAGAAGGTAAGCAGTGCATCAAGCTCGTGGGCTTGAGACTTCCGAGCCCGGATTCAGGATCTTTTAGTCCGTATGCACAGAAATGGAAATCTCCCCAGGTCACGGATGGGTCTGAAAACAATTGCTGCATGCATTTCAGATATCATATCCTGGATGTCTGAGGATTTTCGATAATGAAGTATCTTCTGTGCTTCAACTGGTAACGCGCAATGGATGCCACAAATTCAACCATGCAAAGGTAGCGTCTCCGCTTTTCCCCCACCTTTTTCTGGTCTTGCTGGATGTTCTGCATATTTGACCATGGTCCACAGACTGGTGCCATAAGGATGACATCAGGTGCTTGTTCCCTGATGATCTCCATAACCATGTGTCGTCCCTTGGATGTCATTACATCGAATCCTGTGCGGATGTCCACGGGAGTCCCAACCTTAAGACCTGACAGTGCACAGCATTGACTGAATCTGGCACTTCCTGCAAAGATCTCGAGAACGTGGATCTTTCCTTTACGTACACAGTTCCAATGTGCTTGTTCAGGAATGGATGTGAGGTCCTCGACGAACATGTTCTCTGCTGGATGAGGTACTGCAGGTTTTGGAGTTGTTTTTCCCGCGATACGTAATGGCACTGAGGATCTTGGCTTAGGAGCTGGTGCGGATGATTCCTTTTTCTTGGCATCTACAGAGGAGTCTGGTTGCTCCTTCTGCAAGGATTCTCGCTCTTCAGGCAACAGAAGGTCAATTCCGAGTTTCCCCGGAGGGATGGTCTCATCCTTCCTGAGCTTCGTCATGTTAACCTTGATGAGTCGAGTCCCAAGATCAAGTCCTACCATTGCTCCTTCAATGGAAATGACTTTTCCTTTTAGCCATATTCCTCCCTTGCTTCCATCGGAACGAATCTTGGATTTGTCTTCCTGCCAGTAAAATACCTTGTCCTTCACCTGAAGAGGCTTTGAACTCATCCGGAGATTTTGAGCAAGGTCTCGTCGGATGTCCTCGGATTGACGTGCTTCTTGGAAAGCTTGCTTTGACAGCTGCTTGATCTGGATGGCTGTCATCTCTTCTTCATTCCTGTCAATCGTCAACTGAGTTGGAGTTGCGACATCGAGTTGGATGAGATCTGCTGGTCGTCTTCCGAATGCGAGCTCCAATGGAGTTACTCCCCCGTAAGTGACGGTCTGATTCCTGACAGTTGCAGCGGCCTTCACCACTTGCCTGTAGGTCACTTTCTTCAGTGTTGCAGGTGCAGTACCTGCCTTGATGGAACTCAGCATGATCTTGAGTTGTGCCTTCAGGAGTCGAACTGCTGCTTCAGCTCGATTTGGCCATGGTGTATTCGGTCCCAAAGATATCGGAGTGATGTCAAGGGACTGACAGAAATGTTCCCATGTATCTGTCATGAAGGCTTGATCTGCGACAACTGATTTGGGCTGCAAGTGGTACTGGTCAAAATAGTTCCTGAGGACAGTGATGTTCTCGACTTCTTGCGTAGTTGTCACTGCCTCTGCAGTGAGCAATGTTGTTGCTCCATCCAGGATGACAAAAACAATGATGTGTTCTCCAGTTCCAAGAGGAACTTGACAGTGATCAATGAATGTCATGTCACCAAAGGTGTCCGCTCGAAGTCCGCTTGTCTTGCTTCGTGATGGTGCATGTTTCGCCACTTGGCAAACTTCACACTCACTTCGGATCTTGTCAAATAGATCGAATGTTGATCTCGGCAAATGAAGTGCTCGGGTTCTAAATCGAAATTGATCTGTTGTCATGTGATGATGCTGCAGGTGGAGCTTCTTCAGTTCTTCTGGATTTGACAATCGCTTGTGGATTCTGCCTAGGGCAAGCGGAAGCGATGTAGGTTCTTCTGAGGATGGTGCGAAAGGATCTGGCTCAATAGTCGACTGGCCCCTCTTGTCGATGATCCTGTCTGCTGCCGATCCTGAACCTGCTTCTTCGTCCTTAAGCGAATTGTCTGAGAAGGTGAAAATGGTCTTACCTATCCACAGGTTAATCATTGGTTATTTGCCTGGGATGTAAGTCTCCAATTGTCTTCCAGGATGTCTGGATCTCCGCCCGCGGATGCATCAATGATTTCCGTGGTACGTTCTCGGCTGATGTGATCAGGATTGATTGGACATTCCTTGGCTCCATTTGGTGTGAACAGCGCCTTTCGGGGCGTGATGTGCACACGGATGAGCTGCTTGGTCTTCTTGTCAAGGATCCAATGGTCCTGCTTTTGAGATCCAATGATCTTAGGAGTCATGTAGAGGTTCCGCATCTGGCTGATGCTGAGAAGGATTGGTACAGTTCCTTGTTCAAGGATGTCGATGTTCGTACTGCATGGAGGAGTTGTGTGATATCGAAGATGCAGGGTCCAATTTACCCTGGCGGTCTCTCCGTTTGCAAAAGTGAACTTGGTCTCGGCCGGGGATGTACTCGTAGGAGATGATGTCCTTCATTGGTTCGATTGCCTGAGTAAAACGCTGGATTGCATGCCAGCTGCCCATCGATCTGGTACATCCGTTGTCCAGAATCGCATAGGTCGGGTTGTGCTGAGGGTTGATGACAGGCGCCATCAGCTTTGTTGCCAAAAGGCCGTGATTTGTCGTGACGGACAGATTGTGTTCTGAAACTGCATCTGATTGGATCAGCTTCTCGTGGATGGCCTTTTTCCCAGGATACTCATATGCATCATGGAATGCCATTAACGCTTGTCCTGTGATGGATGTCTCATAGGATGAGTACCAGCCATGTTCGTTCCATGTCCATGATTGATCCCAATCTTGGTCTGTCCAACCGGCATAGGTAGGCTCTATGGATGGTGCAGTCTGCTGGATGGCGGGCTGCTCCTCCGTCTTCTCTGCGGTGGCTGCGAACGTCTTGGATTTTCCTTTCTCCTGTCCGCTCTTTCCTTTGCCACTCTCATAGGATGGATAACCTTTGTTTCCATCATAGGGATATTGGAATTTTGATTTTCCTTTCTTTCCCTTCTTTCCTTTGCCTTTTCCCCAATATGCCTGGTCGTAGGGATCATAGTTTTCGTTGGCCATATTGGCCTTTCCGCCAGAACCGCTTTTTCTGAAGGGTTTGAAGCCACCTCGTTGGGGACTGCCCTTCTTGTTTCCTGATTTTCCTTTTCCTTTTCTTTTCTTGAACTTGAAGTTCCGCCCCGACACTTTTCTTGCTATGAACGCATCGTTCTCCTCGAGGACCCAGAACGTCTCTTCATCATTGTTTGACATGAATCCTTCAAGTCCTTCTTCATCCTCAACCCAGAAGCCTTCTTCTCCTTCGTATTCACCTTGTTCGATGATGAAGAATGTGTTGCTTCGGCTGCCTCCTTGAGGTCGGATGGATGGATCTTGGATCGATGTCCTCGTTGTGATGAAGAGTTCATGGTAATGTGTCTTCAGCATCTCATAGGAATAATTCTCGAGTGAGATGTTCCTCAATGACATTGCACTTGGAGTCATTCTCTTTGTTGATCTGACAACCCACTTTGTATAATGAAAAAACTGTGCAATGAGATTATCCCCGAAGGGAAATGCGTCCCGCTGTCTGTCCTGCATTCCTTGGATATATTGTCTGAGGACTGTAGGATCGTCCTCATTTAGCGGGGCTGGAGGCGGTGCTCGAGCACCAGCTGCTTGCTGATGTCGAGCAATTGTTCTCGCGTTTGCGTCCTGTACGGACTGTCGGAATGATGGAGACTGTGCCGTAAAGATTGGCATCAAGTCCATCCATGCTGCCTTCAATCTCATGAGAAGGATCTCGAATTTTGAGGTAAAAATGAGGAACTCTTGGTTCTGCCTTCTGTGGTTGAAGAAACTGAGGAGTCTGTACAGATACACGTTGGTCGCACCTTTCAACAAGTACTTCTTCAGCGTGTTCTTGAAATAGTTGACTCCTTCATCAGGATCTTGCAAAAGGTCATTTTGGAGGACGGCCTTGTACATGTAAGCATCTCCAGTGAGTCTGCTCTTAAGCAATGGACCTCGCTTGGCTGCTTCTACTGTGGTGATTGTCACCCAGTCGTCCACGAGTTCTTCATACCTGAACCAGCTGACTTTTCCGTCGTACGATGGCGGCTGCTTGGCGGTCATCGATAAATTTAGTGTTTCCTCCGTGTAGCTCGGCTTTGCCGAACTTGTGTAGGCTTCCATGAAACCTTCTCCATCTGATGACATCTTCCCTTGGATCTCTGCGGAAAACCCGCTCCGCTACCACAAATTGAGGCCCGCTGCCCCAGGGTTCCAGTTCCCTCCGGGGTAGGCACCTGGGGCAGTGGGCCTCAGGGGGGGGGGGGGCGGTGCTTCGTGGCCGATGTGGACATACCCATGTGGGGCCTACTTCTGTCCGGAGCAGGAACATGCCCATCAAAGGTTTGTGATAGTGGATGTAGTTGAAGATTGACTTCCCAGGGGTGGCTCGAAGCATGACCAGGCCAAAGGGACAGCCAGATATCTTTTCGGCAAGATGCGCCTTGTCAATCTTGTTCTTATTCTAAAGGTAATATGTCCGAAACCAGCTTAGTTAGGGGTTGAGGTTTTTTCCTGGAAGCCTGGCTTTCTCTGTTTTCAGGGTGTTACCCAGCGCTTGAATGACTCCAAAATTAAGAGTGCAAGGGTCTAAGCATCAGGAGCCCTGCAAATACCGGAGACCGCACAGGCTGATTGAGCCCTACCCCCTAGAGGAAAACTCGTTGAGTCCTCGCATAGGGTTCCGACAGGTAACTTGCATCTTGGAAGGCAAGCTTTGGGTCCCCTGTTCGTCTCTTTTGTGAGTTGTCCTAGGGTTTGTCCATATGGCTATGGGTCAAAAATGCGTACCTAAAATGGAACCCTGGTAAATGGAACCAAAGACTAAAACCTGCGGTCCCCTGGTGGTTTTAGTTTGACCCATACCCATATGAGCTTCATGAAACCGCCGATTTCAGGAGGACGAGGACGACTCGTACCTGGACTCTGAGTGGGCCAATCCGAAGGCACGTCGTGGCACTCCCAATCATATGGGTTTCGAGCTCAGCGATTCGGGGCAAAACGAGCTCACCATCATTCTGGTCCTTTGCTTGGAGATCCCTTATGCAAGGTTTTGGAAGTCTTGTGCAAATATGTTCTTTCGTTCCTGATTTTGCGTAAGTTCGTGCACCTTTTCACATTTGTTGATCACTTGGTAGGGAACGGATGTTGAGTTGCTTGAGGGCTTGGGGATCTCGGTTGGGTGACAAGGGAGAGGCCAACAAGAATCAACAGGGTGGAGGGAGGTTGTGAGCCTGCGTGTGGAGAATCCATGTTTCTCATTCCAAGATTCCCAAGGTAAAGATTCCATCCATAAGATAGTAAAGGAAAGCGAAGCAAGTAACAAAAGCAGAAGAGATAAAAAGATAAACACAAAGTGATGTAGATATAAACATGGAAGGATTGATAAGATATAAAGTTTTAAATAAATACATAAAATGTACACTGCAGCTGGGAGAGGGTGACAGCTCGCTTGCCAGTCCCTGAAGAGCACCCTGGTGGGCGGCGGCAAGTGGGGCGCCTCAATCGGCCTTGTTCGCCTTGAAACCGCGCCCCTGCCTTCGGTTCGTTTCTCCAAAGGTCTCAAGATTTGTAGGATCCCCCGAAGGTTTGGTTTTTATCCCCATGCTGGAATGTGCCCATTTCTGTCATCGTCTTTCACTGGTCGCGTCATTCACATGGCTGCAAATAGATTGGTTCTCACTTCTCGTCAAGAAGCAGAGATTCCCGATTTGGCAACCCGTGTGCTGGCGGAGAATTAACACTTCTAGAACTGATATTATGGAATTGTGGATTCGAGCCTTTTGGAATTCCCGCTTTGGTCCATATTCTAGGTCCCGAAAGCTTCGCCTGTGTCCGGGTCCTGTGGGCAAGAGAGGCGTTACCTCCTGCGAAATTCAACGTTTGTAAGAAAGCTGTTGTTTCTAGCAAAGCTGCAGGCTTCGCATTTGTCTCAGGCCAATCTCCTGGAAAGCGAGGTGATGTGTTCGCAGCTGAATTCGCTTTGTGCATGGCTTTCACAGGATGGAACAAAGGCGCACCGTTGGTGTGTTTGCAGTTTTCAGTGGCCCTGCACATTCGAGTTCTCTGCTTCCATCCTACAGGTCAGGGCCAGGATAGAATCTCGTTTTCACTGGAATTCAGCAACAGAGACGAGCGACGAGGCAAGAAGTGCACAAAAGAAGTGCGAGGAAAGATGTTGGCAGGCGCTTGCTTTGATGGTTGCAGTTGTGGCATGAGGCTGCTTCCAGAGGCAAAGTGTCCAAAGGAAGCCGCGGCTGTCTGCCAAGAAGGCATGCCAGTGATGGTGCATGCCAATTTCCTCACAAAATCAATAAACTCCTAGTCTTACCGAAACCTACTTGTAGCTCCAATGCTGCTTGAGTTGGCCTTCTCTCAGCTTCATGGGAAAGGGTTCAGCCAGGATATGAGCTGTCAAGAGATGGTTGAACTTACTTATGACGATGGCCCAAGGATTGAGTCGGATGTGAGGAAACCCGATGGGGATGATGGATATCCTTGGCCCTTTCCAGTGTTGATGGGGCTTTTGCACATGAAGCTTCACTAGACGAGCTGCATATGTTGCCGGCAGCCAACAAATATCAGTGTGCTCCCATAGCTCGGATGTCCTTTTGGTTGCAACCTTTTTGAACACATTCTAAAAATGGAAACAAACAACATCGGATTCCAAATTGGGGCCTTTTTTAATTCTATACAATCCTCGCATGAGGGGAACAGCAAAGGCTCGCCTTTGGGCAACGCAAGAGCTGAAGGAACCGTTTGCAAGAATGCCCTTGTTTGGAAGGATCAAACATTGCGAACATCGCAGGGCGCTGCTTTGGCGTGTTCCGTAAATGGTGCAATGTTCGGGTGTGGACAAATGACCCTTTTGGAAAACTCAGGGTTTTAGTCTCGATTGCAGGTGTGCCTTTCTGCTTCCTTATGTGTGCAACGGATGGGCAGTGTTTTGCAAACCACCGTTCAGAAGACGAGAACACCATAATTACAGAGTTTGACCGGCTTGACGTCCATTTCGGGCTCAAGCAATGCATGTGGCTGTGAAATCCATCCGGTGAGAAGGCTTGTCACTGTGGGTTTGCAGGCTTAGACTCTGTTGTTCAGAGAAAACCTCCACGGGGGTACCTTTTCGGGGTTGGTTTGCGGAAATCAAAAGCAAGTAAGCCATTTTCGGGTCCACGTCCTATTTGGATCCAAAAGCCCATGATAAAGATTGCCTGATGTATTGCAGCTGTTCGAAAGACCAAACACTTGATGTACTTTGAGTGAATAAGTCAATGGCACAATGACTGGCACAATCAATGGCACAATTAACGGACACGTTGCTGACTCATATCAAATTTTATGTGTTAACTCAGCTTGGAACCGGCAAGCCGCCCGACGCAGCATTGATTTTGGGATGAAAGGACCTGTTGGAATAGGTCCCTTCTGTTCACTGTTCTTGGTGTGTTGCATGTTTTGCTTGGCTTGCTCTTTTCATGTCCAGCTGCAAACAGACGCCCTGCGTCTTGCACAAGTTTGGGGATCCATTAACCCATAGGACGCCGATGGTTGCAGCAATGGACGGAAATCGGGGGCCCCCTCCGGGTGTGACTATCGAGCGCAATGAGCCAAAGAGCCCATTGTCCAAGTCCAATTGTAGGAAACGCCCGCTTTTGCTGTTCAGAGGGTTGAGACTGCTTGATGGTTGCCTCAATTGCAAGTATGTATTTGAGCCTGCTGTATCCGCATATAATATATGTATACATGTCTACGAAATAATTGATTTATTGATGCATTTATTCAGTTGTTTGTGTGTGTGTGTGTGTTTCTTCATTCATTTACATATATATATATATACATATATGTATGTATATATATATATATATATATATACATATATACATGCATGCATGCATGCATGCCTCACAACGCGACGCAACGCATGCATAGATAGATTAGATTAGATGGATAGGTTGGTAAGTAAGCAGGTGATTACGTGCATGCATCCCTACATACATTGCATACGTGCATACATCCATGCATGCTCACATGCGTCCATACATGCATGCATGCACGAATCCATCAAGTTCACAGCAAGTTCCCCCCCACGCGCGTGGACCGTGAATGGACCAACTTAGCAGTTATGGAGGCTGTGGAACGGACGGCTCAATACGAGCATGAAAAATTGTCCGAAAAATGGAAGAAGAGAAAGATAACCCTACTAGGACACATTTTGCAATCCCAAATTTCTGACCCATTAAGACAGGTACTTTTTCGAGAGCTGCACAAACTGCCCAAGAATAGAGCACATGAGAAGAGTCGGGAAGCCAAGAGCAGAATGGCTGCATGAGACTTGCAGAGAAGCACATGAAACATGGGATCCGCACACGCAATTTGACATCGAAAATCGCTTGCAGATGGCTCAACTGGCTGTGCGGGCACAAGCACGTCAATGTCCTTTTGGGAGAAATTGAGGACATCCTCAGCAAGAATGTCATCGAATACCTCACCGAATAGCCCCTTTGACTAGCCGCAATAGACAACCAGGCGGATGCCTTATACAACCTGAACACTCGAGGAACCGGCAAAAGATGTTGAAAGCTCGACATGGTCAAAGACCTGGGAGCATTTCTCCGGGCGCTTGTAGGCGCGAGACATTGCTGGGCAACGCTCAGCTCCCTGGGAGCCGCGTTTCGAGAGAGAGAGAGAGATGCACGAATCCATACATGCACAATATGTATATATATATATATATATTATTATTATTATTATTATTATTATTATTATTATTATTATTATTATTATTGTTATTATTAATTATTATTATTATTATTATTAATTATTAATTATTATTATTATTATTATTATTATTATTATTATTATTATTATTATTATTATTATTATTATTTATTATTATTATTATTATTATTATTATTATTATTATTATTATTATTATTTATTATTATTATTAGTATTATTATTATTATTATTATTATTATTATTATTATTATTATTATTATTATTATTAATTATTATTATTATTATGATTATTATTATTATTATTATTATTATTATTATTATTATTATTATTATTATTATTATTATTATTATTATTATTATTATTTATTATTATTATTATTATTATTATTATTATTATTATTATTATTATTATTATTATTATTATTATTATTATTATTATGAGTATTATGATTATTATTATTATTATTATTATTATTATTATTATTATTATTATTATTATTATTATTATTATTACTTCTACTATTACTATTATTATTATTATGATTATTATTATATATATATATATATATACACGCATGCATGCATATACGTTCATGCATGCATGCATGCATGCATGCATGACAGACAAACAGAGACAGACAGACACAGACAGAGACAGACAGAGACAGACAGAGAGAGACAGACAGAGAGACAGAAAGAGACAAACAGAAAGACACAGGCAGACAGGCAGGCAGGCAGACAGACTGAGACACAGACACAAACACAGACACAGACACAGACAAACATACCTACCTACATACATACATGCGTACACACACACACACGTGCAGGCAGGCAGGCAGGCAGGCAGGCAGGCAGGCAGGCAGGCAGGCAGGCAGACAGGCAGGCAGGCAGGCAGGCAGGCAGGCAGGCAGGCAGGCAGGCAGAGAAACAGACAGACACAC